ATTCAAACCTGCGGAGGCGAGTTTACCAGCAATGACTTTCGAAATTTCTTACACATAATAGTATTATTCGCCAAATTACCTGTTCTCACACGCTTGAGCAAAATGGCACTACCAAACAAAAACATCGACACCTTCTCGATCTGACTCACACCCTTCTTCATGCTGCTCACCTTCCCCCAATTTTCTGGGCAGAAGTCATATCCACCGCAAATTGTACTATTACACTATTTTTTAACATCCCAGAAATCTTCTATTCATTAAAAATCTCTCAGCTTTCAGAATACCTGGTAAAAATTTTCTAGAAAATATTCAGAATGTGCATAATCATAATCTCTATGACATATAAAAAGTTACACGATGAAAGTTTTATCAGTGCAAAGTTATCTCCGGTTTTTATTAACGGATACAAAATTTTGATCGAAATATTCGCCAAAACTTTCACATTTTTAAAAATTTAGATAGGCATAATGTGCCTTACCTCGAGTCGAACAAAATTCCCAACTGCGTCGACAGACGATAACGGCCCGAAGTCGCCCAAAAATCTGGATTTTCTCTCTCTTTCATTCTCTTTCTCTCTCCTTCTCTCTCTCCATTTCTCTAAACCGAGCAAATGGTGAATTAAATAATGGGGTTAGATATTTTTGATCGTACGGATGATATTTATGTTCGTATCGGGACGAACGCTTCTGTTCTGTCCTCGGATGACGATCGTACATACGATACTTAATTTTGTACAGGGATGAACGCCTCTGTTCAAATCTCATATGAGGATAGTACTGACAATAATTAATTTTGTACAGGGACATACGCCTCTGTTCTGTTCTCGTTCCAATCGTCCAGATGATTCGTACATACGAAATTAAAATTCTAAATGTTCGTCCCAGACAAACTCAGTTCGTACCGGACGACTAATTTAGACTTCTCTAAATTAACCAAAAAAAAATCTTTAAAGTTTAAAGTTCACAGTAATGACTATATACATGAAAAGGTTGTAGTAGCTTTAATGGAAAATAAGATTAGAGAGTATCCCTTAGATGGTTTGTCACATAAAACGCGCTCCCGCCATTTGATGACCCGATTAGGAATGTGGATATATTGAATTCGACCTATGTTAATAAAGGTAGATGTGGGCCTAACTAGATTAGGTCAAAAAGTATTAGAAATAACTTTTTTAATTAGATTTAAATGAGAAATTTACTCTTAATAGGACATAATGGAGAAAAAACTAATTTATATAACTGACACCACCACTACATGAAAATCATCTATTGCCGGCAGAATTTTCTAGCAGAAATTAAACATTTTCTAGTGATTTTCGAATTTATTGGCGGTTTTCCAGTGAAAAAATATGCTGGTAAAACACGCGTAGGAAAATATATTACGGCAGTTTTTTCCGGCGGCAAACCATTCCTGCGGCTTACCGGCGGAATTAAGCCGTCGGAACATTAAAGAAAAAAAATTAAAAAATTTCACGTTCTTTCCCGCCTGGCAGCCCGCACTCCCTCGCCCCACCAGTGCCAACCTGCTCCCGCGCCTGAGCCCGAGCTTGCCCACTCCAGTGAAAAAATATGCTGGTAAAACACGCGTAGGAAAATATATTACGGCAGTTTTTTCCGGCGGCGAACCATTCCTGCGGCTTACCGGCGGAATTAAGCCGTCGGAACATTAAAGAAAAAAAATTAAAAAATTTCACGTTCTTTCCCGCCTGGCAGCCCGCACTCCCTCGCCCCACCAGTGCCAACCTGCTCCCGCGCCTGAGCCCGAGCTTGCCCATTTAAATATTTTTACTTAAATTAATTAAATAGTTAATATTATTTTTAATCATTTTTGTTAAATCATTTAAATAGTTAAAATTTTAATCAATTTAATTAAATTTTTAAAATTTCGCCGGAAAACTAAAAATGCCACCAGAAATTTCCGTGGAAAAGAAACCGCCGGAAAATTTCATTGGAAAAGTTGTCTCATTATTTTCCGTCGGAAAACGGCCGGAAAGCCGCCGGAAAATAACCTCCAGAAAATTTCGTCGGAAATGGATGATTTTTCTGTAGTATGCACATCATAGAATAAAGGCTTCATGTTGATATTATTGTTGTTAACAAATCTTGTTAACAAATTTGTTCATAAAAATCATCGAACAAATATTCAAATAAGAGTTAATTATGTAAACATAAATAATAAATAATGTTCTTGCATCCCTATCGACGTTTCTCATTTCAATAATTTTGGCTTTTTTCATTTTGCAAAAAAGGAACAAATCTATAATGCGACGTCCAACTTGTTTGATAGTGCATTAGAATTAGGAACTCGTTGCCACGTGGCTCAACCTGGCTCTTACATCCTTAGTCAATTCTCTCTCTAGCAACTATCTATTGATTTCTAGTCAATTGTCTCTATATAATTTATTTTAAAAAAAATCAAAATTAAGGGTCTGCCTGAAAAAATTTTAATTTTTGCTTTTTTTATTAAAAAAATGATTTATTTAATATAATTTTAAATATAAATTTTATTTTAAAAAACACAAAAGAATTTTGAAATATTTTGATTATTTTTAAAAATAATTATCACTACCAACCATGGCCAATATTGTCATTGGTGCCGTCACTGCCTTACCGGATTCCTCCACGATCTCATCAGTGATAGCCTCAACCTACTCAATAAAAATAAACATATATTTTATTTCATTTTAAAAATATAACAAAAAAATTAAAGATAAAATAAATAAAAAAATTTAAATGGTACTGTCCCTAATACTTAAACAGAAATTTGACTGTATATGCAGCATGATGTCCAAGCTTGGCGAAATATGCAGAAATCGTTCTAACTAAAATACTCTTGTTTTGCACTGCAGACTACTTTTATGGAATAATTATTAGGTGCGGAGTGCAGACGGGGAGAGCACCATCTGTACAGATACAGGGTACCAAGCGGTACCTAGTGGTACCCAGCAGTATCGAACAGTACCTAGCTAGATTTTATACTAGTGTGCAGACGGTTCTCATCGTCTGCACTCCGCACCTAATAATCTCTCACTTTTATGAGGCCAACACAACAAAATTGATAGGAAAAACATTCAAATAAGGTTCGAATAAAATTCAATCAAGACTGAGTTCATTGCATACAAATTTGACCCATGATCATTCGAACCTTAATCAAATATTAATCTCTTATATTCAATTAGTTTTTCAATAAATTTTATAACTTGGTTTGAAAAAGGTTTGAATAAGATATTGACAAAAGATTATGAAATAGTTGAATTGCATGTTCAATTACGGTTCATTTATTATCTATCATACACAACAAGCAATAAAAATAGATATAACATAGAAAATTCCTTTTATTTGGAAAATTATATCAATCTATCATGAGTTGAAGAATGTTCGAACATAATTTTAAAAAAGTTCACTAAAATCCTTAATGCATGAAAATAACAAGCATTCCATCATTTAACGACTATTCGATGACATATGTTTAAGATCTATAATTGATCATAGTAAGAAAACTATTATGAAGGAAACAATACTTGGCATTACAAGTATCTCGGTTATGACCTCTAATTTCGTATCAACCACATCTATATTTGACTATATCCTTCCCTGCCTTTTAAAGGATTTTTATCTTTCATTGGATGGCCACTCGAAGCCATTCGTTGAGTTATATGACAATCATATTTTATTTCATATGAAACCTCTCAAATTAATTTTTTCTTATTGATACAAATATTTTGAGCATATGATGCTAAATATATTTCCTGTACGTATAAGTTTAAACATAATATATAATAGCAGAAATATGAGATATATTGCCAATGCATGTTCACAACAGAGACTCATAACATCAAAATTTTCACTTGTACAAGTCATATTATACAGATGAGAATCAATATTAAAGTTACTATGAAGGGCATATAGTTCAAATTGACTAATGGGGTTACTATTTATGCCTTGATCCTTATTTAGGAGTTTTTATGATGCATGTTTGATTTAATTCCCTTAAATAGTTTGAGTTCACCGTAATATTACATCTATCAAATAACTATTTTTACGTTATCTACCTTAAAATGTTTTTAAAAATAGTTTTTTGTTAGGATTGTTCACTCTTTATGTTATTATTGAATAAGGTTTGGCTTGGCCTAAAAAAGTTTACTTATGTTCAAAAAGTTCTTATAAGTAATTTTTCTTCTTTTTGTGGACAAAATTGAATGTTTTTATTTACATCATCATGCGAGGAAAGCTAAAATTTAGAAAGTTAACGGTGGAATTAGGGATATATTGCTAATGACTAAGATGGTGTTGCCCATATCGCTCCTAATGCTCAGGATCAATCAATATGCTTGTGGTTTAAGAAAATTTGGATGGCCACTGGAACCCATTCATTGATGAAAATGTATTTAGGATTAAATTCCTTATTTTCTTTTTCATTTCATCAAAATTTAATAAAATTATAACTTCTTATTCAAATTTAAATTTATTAATAATTTCAATTTTTTATATAAAATTTTGATTAGAAAATGAAAATTCAATAAATTATCATACTTATAAAATATAACTCAAACTAATATATTTAATATATATCTAAATTTTAAACTTCAAATTTTCTTTTACTAAGCCATTTAATTTCGGACACAAAAAATAAGATAAAAAAAATTATATAGAAGACTTGTATTGTTTATCTTGAATGATGGATATAGTTACATTATCTCCTCTTCATAAGTATTTTAGACTTAACATTTTAAAAAGAGAAATATTTTCCAGTTGAGATCAATCTTTCTGCTAGCTATTAGATGTTAGTTAACGTTAAATTTTCAAAATCGTATCTTTTTGGATTTGCTTAATTTCCAAATAAATCTCCGCTACAATTACACACACGCAAATACACACGCGTAATTTGCATTAATTAAGGTGCATTAATTAAGAGGGGATCGTTCCACGACCTCGCCACAGGAGAAATCATTTCTGAAAGTGAAAGTGGAGTGAGTGCTTTGCGAAACTGCACACCGTAAGATGACGAGTACTTGCTGCTCTGGCTCGAGCAACCCTACGGCGAAGCGGAAGCGCGGCCGCCAGCCAGGTTCGAAGAATAAGCCTAAGAATATTCCGGTGGCCAACTGCATGCCGCAGGTCGCCACCCTCCATCAACACGTACTCCAAATCCACGCTGGCGGCGACGTCGCAGAAACCATCGCCGCCTTTGCTCGTGGCTGTCGCAATTTCGGAGTCTGCGTCCTCTCAGCCTCCGGCCCTATCTCAGCCGCCGTCTTGTGGGAGGCATCTCCGTACCCCTCAACACTCACATTCCAAGGTAGCTTTTTTCTTATTTCTTTCATGGCCACATTTCTTCCTGGAGGTAGCGAAGGAAGTATGGCGGTGACTTTAGCCGGGCCACACGGTCAGGTGTTGGGTGGGGTGGTGGCAGGGCCGGTGGTGGCTGCTGGAAAGGTGATTGTGGTGGCGGCAACCTTCGCCTCCTCGGCATTGCACCGCTTTGGTGCTGTGAATAATACATCGGAGATAAAATTGAGGCATTTTTGAAGTTTCCTCCTCTCTTGAAGTTGGTGTCTCCTCTTCCTTTTCTCTCGCACTCAAAATCTCTCCTCCTATCTTGTTCTAAAACTAAAAAGTAACAATCCAAACAAAATAGATCCACCTAAACTAAAATAACACTTAATAAAAAAAATTAGATGCTAACACAACGATTATAACATTACATTAATGCTTACTATGTAAATCATCCAAAATATTTCTAATACTTGAATGTGGTAGTAATGAAACAATAATCAAACGAAAAAACCATAAAAAATAACCTTAAAGTAGAAATCGGACGGTTTTGGGTCGGACGAAGCGGAAGGCGATTCGGATTGGGGCGGCGGTCGGATTTGGGCGGACAAACTTGTCGGCGGGCGTCGGATTGGAAGCGGCGCCGGAGGAGATTCTTCGCCTCGTCGGACGACGGAGGCGCCTAGGAAAGAGCGAGCACACGGGGAGAGGAGCGACCGAGAGAGAGAAGGAAAGAGTTAAAATGAAATGCAGATCGGGGCTAGGTGTAATTAGGTCTTATACCGCGTTTTTCCGGCAGTTGGACCGGCCGGTAAAAAAGTCACTTATCAACGGCGGTCCGAAAACCGCCTGGCTCTTGTGACGTTTCGGCGGTTTACGTCGGTTTAGGACCGCGCCCGTACCGTGGGCTTATATAGCAAAATCACCGGTGCACGTCATTCGTTAAAATACGACGGCCAAACCGCGCGGTTGTGCGCGTCCGTACTACCGGCAGTCCTTAAACAGCCCGTGTTTGGGCATTTTTCCTGTATGTGAGGCCAAAAATCGATCCAAACCAAATAAAATTTTGGAGCAAAACAGTATGAGACGTAAGGCTTCGAAAAAAGAAACCCACAGCCCCGCGCCCCCCCCCCGCGCCCCCCCCCGCGGACGATGGCGAACTCCTCCAACAGCGTCGAGAAGAGGCGACCATTTGATGATTTTCATGAAACAACAGCAACAAAAATAGGAACGCGTGAGCAAAAACCCACCATAAATCTAAGTCGTTACCAAAGCTTAATCAGCACATTTTTTTATCTAAAGGTGACCGAAAATCACCAGAAAGTTTAAAGATTGAAAAAAAATTTTCGAATGGAATCCAACTCCGGACGGTTCAACAGAAACTTACCAACTAAAGAAAACTCGAAGGTTTTAGCAAGATGGAAAACTCATCCTCTGAAACACATAACGCCGGCATGCACGAATGGTAGACACACGACAATCCGGTGAAAACAGCCGAAACCGAACCAGAGAGAGCACATCCTTGAAGGATTTAGAGTTCTTACCTTCAATAAAACAGGACCAAACGTTTGTTTGCCATGGGAAACGCGAATCTCACGGCGAGAAAGTAGAACGGCGGCCAGGGTACACGAAGGAAACCCTAGGAGACGGCGCACTCGAAAAAAAAACCCCCATTCCAAAAATGATTGGGCATGCAATTTACTAATTAATAGTAAAACAGGAAAAGTCTTTAAAGTCAGTTGCTTTCCTTATTTCATTTCTGATAAACCTTTGATTTTTGTTATAAAGGAATTAAAGAGTTTGGTTTGGGGATGCTGTAGCTTTTTATAAAATGTTGTGAGATTTTTTTTTTTGTTGGTATTATAAATGTCGTTCATTTTGAAAAAAAAATGGATATCATTTTCTATTTTAGCCTCAAAACACTTTAATGGATTCTAGTTGTGAAGTAATAATTCCCACCATAAATTTCTAAGAACACTGAGAAAAATAATTAGAAAGGCAATTGTGCAATCGTGTTGTTACGCATATAAAAATAAAATAGTCGAAAGCTGCCGCCAAATTGATCCTATGATTTTCATTTGACAGATATTTGTTTACAGCTTTTTAAAAACAACTTTCTAGTATTATTAAATCAAAATTTTGGCCTAGAAGAAGTCATAGATGTCTTAAACCATAAATTGCAAATTATCTCGTCTCACTAGATGCCATATGAATCGTTTTTAGTTTGCTTAAAAATATTTGACTCTTTGATTTTAACAAAATCGATCTCTATTTGCCAATTTGTAAGCCAGTTTGATGAAATTGGATAGGATTTAATAGTTGGATTTTTAGCAATAATTACTAAATTTATATTTTTATATATGACTATAAAACAGAGAATTTCTATCTACATTAAATCCTTCATATCATAAAAGATTTGGGAAGATGCTCAAGTTGCTCAAATGCATGAAACTTTATCTTCACCCAAGCCTTGGAAGGGCATTAATAATTGAATAAACTAATGCATGACTAGAACATAAAGAATAAGAAAAGCTAATAAATCAGGCTTTCGTAACACTTTTTAGAATCACTAACTATCGATTTTAAAATACCTACTAATTTATTTGGTTGGTTTAAGAACTGCTATAATTCAATTGTATTGTGTTCACTAGGAAAGACTTTAGTAGCTTTTTATGAGTGCTGCTGTAGGTATGTTTTAGCAATGCTTTTAGCAGGTTAAAATCGTTGCTAAAGAGTAGAACATATAAAAATAATAATTGCAAAAAATCAAATTTCATGATTAAACTTTACAAATATCATAAAATATTATACAAATATAAATTGAGTGAATATAAGAACATAGAAATCTACAAGTACTTTAATACTTGCTCTTCTACAGCTAAGATGTAGAACTCTTAATGAAATGCTACTACCAAACACCACTGTCATTGATATTCATATGGCTTATATAAGCATTTAAATTGAAATATCCATGGGAAAAGTTGTACAACATCTCCATCGGAGACTTTACCTTGTTTTGGGATAGCACCAGGATGAAAATTGATAATGATCTCTCACAATGTTTTCTAGAACACGGAGCAGAAATTCATTCTTGAAAAGTGTTTCAACCTTGTAACAGGTTGGAGCGCATTCTGATACGAAACAATGATAGATTCACCAATGGGAATGTTGATCCCAATATAAATAATATGTTGAGAATGAAATGGAGAAAAAGAAAGGAAAATAAAAAAAGAAATTCTAACAGTTAAAACATTCAATGGAATGTGTCTTGATGGAGTAGTTCATTGTCGTGCCAAGAATAGGAAGAGTGTATATAAGTTTTATGCAAGGAACTTCCCCAGGAAAATCCATACTTATTCAATATTCAATGCTGAATATTTGACCTGGGCACCGACTGAGAGGGGAGATGATAAGAAAACTTATCCACTTGACCCTTAGCAAAGCGTGTGATCTTTGGGTTATTTGCTAATCTCCTTTGGGGAGAAGGATGGATTGTTAGTGGTGGATGATTTAGAAGATAATTGGAGGACATGTTTTGGTTAGTTTTCATTTAATATGCTTGCGTGAAATTTGCATATCTTAACCAACCTTTTGCATGGGCTCACCATGCTTTTTGTATGGTCTGGAGAGGCTAAAACCTTGTTTCGTATAGTTATGGTGCTTTATCTGTTTTTGATTTCATCGTTGTTGTTTCATCTAGTTCAATATATATTGCTTATCCTAGTGAGTTTTACGGCTCACTTGGTTTCGAAAGCTTCTTTCAAGCTCAACGAATTTACTTTTCTAGCAGTGAGAGATCAACGTTTGGGCTAATGTGGGATTCGCCCAAGGACCCACTGGGGCTATAGACTTGGATGATAAGTATTCAAGAATTTTTTTGAATATCGGCAAGAACTTCTAACATGTAGATCTTAAAAAACTATTTTAAATCTAAAGTGAGGAAGGCAACGAGAAGCTAACTATTGTGTTGATCCAAGCTTCACTCATAGCACCTTTCTAAAAAAGTTTAGTCTTCCTAAAAGCCTATGATCAAGTATTTGGGGAAAATTTAGCCTCACAGAAAAAATTAACTTATTTTCTGCCAGCTTGTAGTTCTTTTAGGCTACTGCACAACTCAACGAATGTAGACGCACCCATCCATAATCATAAGTAATTTCAAATCCAACTTTTATGAAAACAAGATTTTCTGACAGAGAAATGTCATAGCTCAAAACTATCAAAAACAATATCTATCAGGTGCTACTTTATGTCCCATATTCATTTATTAAACAGGATTTGGGCAAGGAGGTAACAGAAAAAAGATGGAAGAAGCAAAAAAAATATTGTAGGAAGTTATAGTTGTTGCGCAAATAGTTGAAAAAACTTTTCAAAAGGTATGTTTGTTATCTTCTAGAGTCTAATGATTGTATTACCAATTATTTTATTATTCAAGTACACAATTTTTATGCTGCATGACGAATGTTCTTTGCTTGTTAATTAGAAAATTAGAATTGAAGAATCTATACTATATTTTTATATCTATATGAAACTATAGGTGCGCAACTAGGAAAATTAAACTTATATAGATAAACTCTATCTATATAACAAAAATTTTTATTTTTTGCTCATTTAATAATTAATAACATTATATTTTGGCGTAATACTATGTTTAAAAATTTTATTTTTTTTATTGCCAAAAAACTTATAGATTTTTGATTTTGTATGATCTTCAGCTATATTTGAGGCATGTATCAAGTTTGATGAGTTGATTGACTTGTTGAATATGATTTCTTACAGGATTAGTGATTATGTTGTTCTATATTGTCAATTTTGAAAGTAAGGTTCTAATCATTTACTCTATTGTGATCTAAAAGTCATTTGTTCGCCAATAATCAGTCATGGAGTTAGAACTTGAACTGAATAAATGAGACAAGTAGTTATCATTTTTAGCTTTTTGTCAACATCCTTTTTATTGCCCCATATTCAAATTCATGTCACCAATATGGAGACCAAATCTCAACAAATATCAATTGTAATATCTCGGTTTAAATGGGAGGAAGAAAAGAGAACTTACAAGTGACATTAATTAGGGTATTATTTTAAACCTCTTGCATCCATATAACCACCTGGGACGAAGTATCCGACCCATCTCAAGAAGAATAAACTTCAAATTCATATCTTTGGAGAAAAGACAAACAACAGTAATTGTCAGAACATGCACTAAAGTTTTCAAAGCAAGAATTGAAATATTCTAGAGAACTTTCTATGTTCATGCA